CTCACAGTGCTGGGAGGGACAGGGCAGGTCTCTGGGGACTCTTATTTGGGTACTAGTCCAGTGACCCAGTGACCTCCTGAAGCCCTGGCCTCCTAACACAAACTCATTGGTGTATAGGCTTCAATGTATTAATTTTTTTGTTTTGGGTTTTGTTTGTTTGCTTCTTCATTTGTTTTTGAGACAGGTTCTCACTCTGTAATTCAGGCTGGCCTTCAACTCACAGTCCTCCTCCTGCCTCAGCCTCCGAGTATTAGAATTACATGTGTACACCATCATGCCTGGCTAACATATTAATTTTTTGAGAGGGCTCCAATATTTGATCATAGCGTCAACTACTAGTTATACAGCAATGAGTGTGAATATCCATTGGTCCATACCTTTACCGGTAGTAGTTTTCTCATGGGATGTAAAATACATCATGCACAATAAGCCAAACCTTCTATAAAGGGTGGGACTGTAGATATCTTAGCCTTTGCAGCCCACACGCTCTCTATTGCTGCTACTCAATTCTGTGGCTGTGTGACAGAAGCAGCTATGGATGATACACAGGTAAACCAGTGTGGCTGTGTTCCAATAAAACTTTATTTACCAGCACTTCCCTCCAGGGCCGTCTGCCTTGGGCTTTCCCTTTCCGGCTCCCACTCACCTTGGTCAATGGGATTTCAGTAAACATTACGCAACCAGAGAAGGCGCTTGCGTAACTGAGCTCATTCTCTCTGCTGTGAGGACATGTCCAGGCTGCTCTGCTGGATGACCAGAGCAGGGAACCAAGCCAAACTGGCCTGAACTATCCCAGTGGAGGCTCTCCTGTGGCAGCCAACAGCCCGCTCAGCCTCAGACATGCATACAAGCTCAGCCAAAACCAACAGAGCCACCCGGTCACCCAGCACTGACCCCAGACGCTCAGTGCACCCAGCTGACATCAGCCCAGCTCAGCCCAGCCCCGTAGAAGCAGAACCCACTAGCTTGGGAACTACACCCCTGTCCAGCGCTACGCTACTGAGGTCTCCTGATTGTTTATGCAGCATTGCTATGGCAATACATAGCTGACACTCTGATCCTCAACCCTATAAGTGATGCTTCTGCGGAAGTCAGCCACGAGATGTGTCTGTTGCTTGCTCTGTGAAGGGACATTGGAGAAAAACACAGGGTCAAGGGAGAGGCTGAGGCAGGAAAGACTTCAGCACATGTGCTTGGTAGAAACCAGCAGGTAAAATAATGATGCGGGAAATATGATAGAAGTTTCCTGTCTACCCTTCTCCTGTGAAAGCCTGCGCAGGTGTGGCGGCTCGGCCCTGTGAAATCTTCAGCTCTTTCCCTCTCTTGCTGCATCATCCAGGAACAGAATGGTCCAAGATGGTCCCGTAGGCCCAAGATGGCTCCCCCCACATCCACGTAGCAGTCACTGAGATGAGGACTCATAAGGCCATGACCTTTATCCTCAGTACTGGATGGTTGCCTCCATTTCTGCCCCTTTCAGTCCAGTCTCAGAAATTGGTCACATGGTCAAACTCAGCTGCAAGGGAGGCTGGGAAATACCAACTTTGTTCTGGCCAACAGAGTGTGTATCTAAACACTTTCTATGGAGGGAGCAATCAGGTACTCCCTGCCTGTTAAAGGGGCGTGAGAGATGATAAATACAACAAGATCTCTATGGTAGATGTTTTTAGCCACTTTCTTCCTTGTTAGGGGGGCTCGTTAGGGACAAGTGGGCGTAAATCATTTGTCTTACTTCCTCAGAGAGCCAGACAGGGAGGAGAGCTGGCTGGCCCATATCTGGTGCCAGGTCAGGACCCTGGTGTGAGGCACCCTGAGCTCAGCTGTGATTGTGGAAGCCACCTTAGGGCTCTGAGGGCTCTGAGGCCTCTGTGTGGATCTGGATGGGCTCGAGGGATGAGGCGGCCAAGGTGAGAAAGTGAGAACGGACCATCTGCAGGAAAGACCCTCAGAGGTCCCCCGGAAGCGAATCTAGCAGGGTCATTTATTGTCAGAATGACCTCATCCCAAGTAGGGCTGAGGCTGGTTCCCTTGCTGTGCCTGAGTCAACACCAAAGCATGACAGCACTTTCTCTTCCTTTCTTTTTTTAAACTATATTTTGAGATGGTCTCACTGTGTCGTCCAGGCTGGCCTTGAACTCACTAGGGAGCCCAGGCTGGCCTCCCACTCATGGTGATTCTCCTGCCTCAGCCTCCCAAGTGTTGAGATTACAAGCGTTTGCCACCACACCAGGCAGCACTTTTTCTTTGTGAGTTTGAGAGCGTCTCCACTCATCTCTTCCTCCACTGGAGACTCAAAGGACTTTTGTTTTGGAAAACCTAGGCTCTCAAGGCAGAGATCTAGATTATGTGGGTGAGTACATAGTGCTGATCTGAAAAGTTGAAAGAGGAGCCAGGCTTGGTGGTGCGTGACTGTACTCCCAGCACCCGGGAGGCTGAGGCAAGAGGATCACTGCAAGTTCAAGGCCAGCTTGAACTACACAGTGAGACCCTGTCTCAAAAAACCAAAAAATAAAAAACCAAAACAGATTGCTATTAACAAAGAGGAAATAGGCATTGCGTAGGAAATGTAATGATGTCTGCTGCCACACAGCTTAATAAATACTAGCTTTACTTGCATAATAAGTAGTAGTTACCCCTTGCCAACAGCACTTACATGGTACAGTGCTTACTATGTGCCAGGAACTGTTTTGAGTGTATAAAATATATTAACTTTCAATCCTTGTAGCAATTTTCTGAGGTAAATGTTGTTTATTTGAGAGTATTTCATTATATCTCATGTATCACAGTTAGATTTACCATAATGCTAGGTTCATGATATACCCTTGTTGGTCTATGCATGGCTCTCTTATTTACTTTTTTTTTTTCTGGTACCGGGGTTTGAACTCAGGACCTTGTGCTTGGCAGGCAGCCGCAGAGCCACTGAGCTAAATCCCTGGCCCTAATTTACTTTCTAAATACTATTCTTAGCCAGGCATGGTGGCGCACGCCTGTAATCTCAGCACTTCAGAGGCCAAGGCAGGAAGATCGCTGCAAATTCGAGGCCAGCCTGAACTACACAGCAAGATCCTGTCTCAAACAAACAAAGCAGTTTATGTTTATTAGCCCATGTGTGCAGTACATAGCGATTCCATTCCTCCTGGGGAGTTGGTACCTGTGCATAATACATCTTCAATCTTTTTACTTCCCCTCCCTCCCCTCTCCTCTGCCACATCCAGTTTTCCTAACCTTCCGTGTGGGTAACCTTCCAAACCTTTCCTAACCTTCCAAGCTGTGTTTAACAACCACATGAGAGTCCGCCAGACTTGCAGTGATGCTTTGCTGACAACTCGCCTCGTGCGTGTGAGGTCTGTTACCGACCCAGGCTGCCAGCCACAGCCTGACCCAGAAGGACACTGGCTGGCCCTGGCTGGGCGAATGTCCAGAGAGCCCAGTCTCAATGGGGAGGAAGTGTTGCCGGCGGGGAGGGCAGAGACCTGGGCTCGAGGGGAATATTTCCTTCCCAGAGTGACTTGCTCAGCTGGGCACCTGAAAAATTCGGGAGCTTGGCTCACATGCACAGACTGTTTAACCGTCCTCCCCAGAACGAGTCAGCCTAGATGACTCCTTCCTGAAGACGCCACTGTGGGTGACAGGTGTGATGGCACACGCCTGTAATCCCAGAACTCTGGGAGGCTGAGGCAGGAGGATCGAAAGTTCGAGCCCAGCCCAGGGAGCTTAGCAACTTAGGGAGAACTTGTCTCAACATAAAAAATAACATGAGGCAACTCAACCTCTCCCTTTAAAATAAAAAGTTGAATTATAAATTTTAAATTAATTACAAAGGGGCTGGTGATGTAGCTCAGTACAAAGGCCTTGGGTTCAATCTCTAGTACCACCAAAAGAAAAAAAAGTGTCACTATAGGGCTTCTGAAGTGAGGTTAAGAAAAGATGAAAAAAAAAAAAAGAAAAGAAAAGATGAACCCCTGGCCAGGTGTGGTGGCGCACATCTGTAATCTCAGCACCAGGAGGCTGAGGCAGGAGGATCACCACAAGTTCAAAGCCAGCCTGGGCTACATAATGAGATCAAGCCCAGCCTGAAGTACACAGTGAAGACCTGCCTCAAAAAAACAAAAAAGAAAGGTGGAACAGCTTGCACCTGTGTGCTCTGGGAGCCGTCTGCACAGTGTGCTGCGTGGCCAAGCTGTTTTACTGGTTGTTTGTGCTAGAAACTGAGACCAGGGCTTTGTCCTGTGTGCCCGGACCCTGAGCTATACCCCTAACTCCTGCTAGATCTGTCCCATGGTTTCCTATATCGATATGTAGCTTCAACTTTTTATGTAATGAAATATAGGCATAAAAGGAAACGGTCATCACACTACCACATGGATGAATCTCAAGGTCGTAAAGGACAAACACTGTGCTGTATGGTTCCCCTTCTCTGAGATCTGCAGGATGTAGTAGCCAGATTAGTAAGGGCAGGAAGGTAATGGTGTCAGCACCAGGAGCGTGGGGAGGAGGAAATGGGAATTTCTTGTTTAAAGGATCTAGAATTTGTTTTACAAGATGAACAAGTTCTAGAGACTGGTTTTATAACAACATAAATATACTTAACAATACTGAATAATATGTCTAAAATGGCTAAGTTGGAAGACTTTGTGTTATGCATATTGTGTATATTATAACCACATTCAGAATAAAAATGATCTAATTGTTTTATAATCTGATATTTACTGCAGTTCAGTTTCTGCTGTCTGATGCTTTGGCTGATTTTCACAATGCCTTGTTCCTGTGTTTGTTTTTTGTTTTGGTTCTTTTTGTTTTCTGCTTTTTGAGACAGACTCTCACTATGTAGCCCAGGCTGGCCTGGAACTAACGGTGATCCTCCTGACTCAGCCTCCCAAGTGCTGGGATTACAGGCCTGCACTACCACTCCCAACTCTATTTTTTTATGGTTGTTTTTTGCCCCCATATTCTTGAGTTGAACACTTGGCTCACGATTCCTTCTTCTTTTCTATTCTAAGGCTCTAAACACGCCGGGCAGTGCCTTTCTCTGCAGCCCACAGGTCCTGTGCTGTCGCAGAGGAGTGACTACCTAGCCAGGAGGTGCCTGTGAGTTTTCAGCAGCTCCCTATCCTGCCACAGGGCTCCTGCACTCCCCGACGATTCTCCTGAAACCCCGCACTCAGGTCTCTACCTCGCAGCCAATTTTCACCATCAAGGGCAGCGATGGATGTCCAAGGGACAACTGGAAGAAGTAAGGGCATCACTGAAACAACCTTTTCAGAACACTGGCTAGATACACAGATTGATAGGAAGCCGAGCGTGCACACCTGTAATCCCAACACTCAAGAGGCTGAGGCAGGAGGATTGCCGCAAATTCGAGGCCAGCCTGGTCTACATAGTTCAAGGACAACCTGAGCTACATGGCGAGACCCTGTCTCCAAAAAAACTAGTTAATTAAAAAAATTATGTGAAGCCAGGATTGAGAACCACTGCTCTACGCTCCTAGCTCCAGCCGGACCTGGCCTCCCCGCTGCTCCCCACGCATCAGCGTTAGGCCGACTTCTGCTATTTCCTGGCCCACATTCCCCTCTGCCCCGCCGCGTCCTGGGGCCTGGGGCAGGGGCCGGAAGCCTGGTGCTGGGGACCGGATGGGAGAGGCAGGAAGCGGCGGCTCGTGTCACGTGTCTCCCCGCAGGTCTGAGCGCCCGGGAGCAGCGCTGGTGCGGGATCACGGCCCGCAGGGGCACGGTGCTGGCCGGCGCCTTCTCCATCATGGCCACGCACCTGCACCTGATCTTCGAGTGGAGGCACCTGGCCTGGGGCGACTGCCCCGACACCAGCCAGGCCAGCGAGAGCTCGGGGGACGTCGTCAGGCGCTTCGTGACCTGCTGGAGTCTGGCCATCGTCCTGCTCCTGTCTGTGGTCACCATGGCGGCCAGCGGCCTCCTGCTGTACTCCGTGTATGCCCAGGTCCACCGGGGCCTGCTGCTCTACGTGTCCTGGATCGTCTTCTACGAGGCCGCCAACCTGGCCGTGCAGATCCTCAGCACCGGCACCAGCACCGGGGCCGTCAGAGTCCTGCGCTGGTTCGGCTTGGTGGCCCGTGCGTGCATGCACTACTTCTGGCTGTGGTTCGTCATCACCTACGCGCGCCTGAGCTACAAGAACCAGCCGCGGGGCGACATCCTGGCCTACAGCAGACCCGGCTCGGCCGCCACCAGAAAACTACAGCGGAAGCCATGAGGGTGCAGCTGGCCCTGTCTTCCGGGACGGTCTCTCTGCTCTGATCCCTTTTGATTTTGTTTTGTTTTGCTTTTGCCGCGCAGCTTGGGGTGGCACCAGCACAGCGACATGATCGAATCCCCAGGCCGCTTCAAGAGCGCTGCTGTCTATCAGGGCTTCCCTGAGCGCCCTCTGTCTTCCTCTCCGGGTCAGTCCCACCTTCTGGGTCAAAACCAGAGCACAAAGGAATAAAATACAGCCCAGTCGAGGTTGCCTTCAACCCAGAGGGCTCTTTGCTTAACCCCAGGACGGGAAGAACTGTGTTTGTACCTCAGGTTCTCCCAATACAGAGGATACTCTTGGCCGTGGGGTGGGTTCCTGCAGTGGCTTCCTTGCTGTGTCTCCTATGCTAAATTCCACATCAGTAGAACAATAAAAGTAGAGAAAAAGGGCCGGGGATTTAGCTCAGTGGTTCCGGCGCCTGCCTCAAAAGTGCAAGGTCCTCAGATCGATTCTCAGTACGCCTCCCAAAAAAATAGAGAAAAAAAAGTCCTTCAGTTTCCATCTTGAGTTCTCCCTCTCCTTTGTCAAGAAACACCACAGGCACTTGGTTAGTCAAAGGGTAGATATTAAGGCAGGCCTCGTGGTGCATGGCTGAAATCCCATTGCTCAGGAGGCTGAGGCAGGAGGATTGTAGTGAGCTGGAGGCCAGCCTGGGCTACATCATGACACACTATCTCAGAAAACCCTCTAAAAGGTAGATATTAAACTTATTTGTGTCTCTTAGGGCTGTGCAAGCCACTTTGCAGGGAGGGGTACCAAAAAAGCGTACAATCAGAGGCCTGACCTTGGGGATTCGGGAGTGTGGTGGGGGACACAGACTTCCTGTGCGCGAAGCAATCAGTCACCCCTAAGAGACTGTGTGTGATGGTCACGTTCAGGCTCAGAATGAATCAGAAGCGCTTTAAACTGTGGCAGAAGAAAATCTGAGAAACTTCTATGGGGGAAGCCAGGGTCCTGGGCGAGGCATTGCCCCTCCAGGATTCCTCAGAACACTCAAACTAGAGGCTCCATTCCACCCAGGTATTTCCCTCCTAGGTACCTTTGTGAAAGAGTCAAAGACATCATGTTACAGGGATCCATGCGCCCGTGTTGATAGCCACACAGGTCACAATAGCTAAATCTGGAAGCAGCCTGTACGGTTTGACAATCAACAGATGAGTGGATAAAGAAAATGTGGTATTAACACACAATGGAGGGCCGGGGATTTAGCTCAGTGGTTTCGCTGTCTGCTGCGCAAGCGCAAGGACCCGAGTTCAATCCCCGGTACTAAAAAAAAAAAAAATTTTTTTAAAAAGAAATATTAACACACAATGGAGCCCTACTCTGCCATAAAGGATAAACTTGAATCATTTATAGGAAAATGGATGCATCTTGAGACCATAATGTTAAGTGAAATAAATCAGGCACACAAGCTTAAATATCACATGGTTTCTCTCATACGAGAAACTCAAATTATAAATAGAGCAAAAGAAAAAATAGATACAGGTAAACTGATGAGTTAGAGATACATGCCACAAACCCTAAAGCAGCCATGAAAAGAGCACAAAAAATTACACCTAATAAGGTAACCAGATAGCCAGTGTGGGTCTATCTCCCTTCCACCTCTGCTTCCTTGTCACCATGAGAAGAGCCGCTTTCCTCTACCAGGGCTTTCCCCATCTGCCTCTGCCTTGGATCCAGGCCTGTGGGCTCTGGATTTACCCATAGCGCAGTAGTTTATTAAGGCCTCTTGGGCCAGGGCAGAAAAGATCGTAAATCTCACATCCAAACCCTTTCCCAATCCACTGACTGCTAGCCTTGGGAATGGCCTTGGGGTGCCCCCCCCCCGCCCCCCAGGGAGCAAAGCAGGAAAACCCCATTCCTAAGGGCTTGGAGGGAAAGAAGGGGAAAGGTTAGGGATGACCCCAAGCTCTTGAGGAACCTTGATAATTTTCTGTCACGAGCTGATCAGACCCCCAGATACCTGTAGGGAGGACTACGGAGAATAAAAGAAAGAGACACAGACAACATTCAATGCTTAAGGCGGGCACTGGGAGGAATCTGCCTCTAGTGGACAGAATTGTCGAACTCCACAGCTGACTTACTTTTATTTTTCAGCAAGAAACACAGGGGAGGGGATAGTGTGCTTTTCTAGGAACGGCAACTGCAGTAAGATTAGGGTAGTAAGATAGGGAGCGAGTTTAGCATCTCGAAGGCAGTAAGTTAAGGTCCTTCCCCATACCTGGATCCCTGCAAGTTATACTGCCCTCAGTAGAATCTATTTGGCCTCAGGAGCACTGTGATTACGGCTTTCCTACACAGCCAGGAAGTCTGCAGCCTTTTGCTCACTTCTCTGTTCCTGAGCCAAGTCTACAGGGGCCTCAGGACTGTGGGACCTGTGCCCTGGACCCCACCAATCTATATATATCATGGCTGGTCCCCAGCAGTTTTCTCTCTCTCTCTCTCTCTCTCTCTCTCTCTCTCGTTTTTGGGTTTTGTTTGTTTGTTTGAGACAGGGTCTCACTATGTAGCCCAGCCTGGACTCAAACTCGTGGTGATCCTCCTGTCTTAGCTCCCCAGTTCTGGGATTATAGGTGTGCATCATCACACCCAGCCAACAGTTTTCTTTTTTCAGAGAAACCAGTTCCCTAGAAGGGAGCCCAGGACCCTCTCCGTCATATTCCAGATGGGGGAGCTCCTGAGGACTCCCAAACCTGTACCTGCTAACAGGAACCACAGGATGAAAGGCCACCTTGGGATGACCCCAAGCCAGTGGGGCCTCTGTTTCCCAACAATGTGGTCGCCTGGAGCTGGTTAGGCTGGAGCAGGGACCAGGGCTGGTGTCCCTGGACTTCCGGCCAGTTGTCTGTCCCCACTCTGTGCCCCATGCTCCATCCAGTGGCCTGGGAAACTTGTCCAGGGCTGGCTCTGCCTTCTTGTCACATTGCTCCCTGATCCCTTTCTGCAGGAGCCACTTCCGGCAGGACAGATCTCTCATGGAGGCCAGGACGGTGACCCTGATGGCGGGCGTCTTCTCCGTCCTCAACACCATCCAGTTCCTCATCTTCGACCTCAGACAGATGACCCACATCGGCTATGAAGCAGACAAGTTCAGCCTCTACCTGGAGACGAAATCTGCGCTGGTGTCCTGGATCCTGAACCACAGGAGCGCTGTGGCCAGCATCCTGTCCCTCATCACCATCGCTGTCAGCTGCGTCCTCCTCTACAGCATCCACCAAAACAGCTACAAGGGGCCACTGCTCTATACGCTGTGGATCGTGGCCTATGAGCTGGGCAGCTTCTCCCTGCTGCTGCTCACCGGCGGCGCCATCAGGAAGCAGTTCCGCATGCTGCCGCGCCTCTACCTGATCCTGCAGGTGTCGCGCATGGCGCTGCACTTCGCCTGCCTGCCCTGTGTCCTACAGCACGCCTACGAGCTCTTCAAGGCCCTCGAGATGGTGACCGAGATCTCCCACCGCCACCGCTCCTCAGTCAGCACCGTGGACTCATGGCCGACGGCCAGGCTGAGGCTCTTGTACCGCAGGTTCACCTAGGAAGGCCCTGGCCAAGCCCTCCTGTCCCCACCACCTCTGCCCAGGGCTCTGGAGCTAAAGAGTCTTTGAGGAGCAGCCAAGGGGGGCGAGGGGTGCACGGGTCGGCCATCCGTACATGTGCAGCTGTCGCAGCACTAATGACACTGGCCTCTTGCTTACTTAACCATCTGTGCATGTTTTGTCTCCGCGGCCCTTCCACTCTGCGTGTCCCTTGCTGTCTGTCTCATTTTCCTCCTGTGGGTACCCGGCTCTCTAGAGTCCTTTGGGGGCAGGGCTGCCCACAGAAATCACTGTGTGAACCCAGGCGTGTCGGTGCATGCCTGTGATCTCAGTATGAGGGAGGCTGAGGCAGGAGGATCTCTGCAAGTTCAAGGCCAGTGAGTTCAAAGCCAGTCTGAACTACATGAGGAGCCCCTGTCTCAGAAAAAGAAATTGCTCTCCCCCCATGCTGTCCACGCCCTCACGTGGCTGGCTCTTGGGCACTCAGCCAGTGGCTATTTCACCCAGCAGCCAAATTTTACCCATTTGATTCCATTTTGATTCATTTCAATTTCAATAGCTACATGCGGCTGGCTCAGAGCTGCCTACGGGAGAGCATACGCTTCTGGAGACTCAGTTTACTCCAGCCTAGAACCAAAGAAAAGACCCTGTGTTGCTCTGCTTCCCTATTTCCCAGAAAGCAATTCCTCATGTTGGCTCCTAATAAAATGGCAAGAAGAATCCACATTCCAGAAAGCTGTGAGACCCGGGTGTGGTGGCACACGCCTGTAATCCCAGCCCTGGGAGGCTGAGGCAGGAGGATCACTGTGAATTCAAGGCCAGCCTGGAGTATAAAACAAAGACCAGGGCCAGGGATTTAGCACAGTGGTTCTACCGCCCGTCTGGAAAGCTCAAGGACCTGAGTTTGATCCCCGGTACCAAACATCAATCAATCAATCAATAAATAAATAAAACCAAGACCATTTAAAAAAGAGAGAAGGTTCAAGCCCATCCTAGGCAACTTAGCAAAAGCCTACCACAAAATAAAAAATTAAGGGCCAGGGATTTAGCTCAGTGGTTCTGGCGCCTGCCTTGCAAGCGCAAGGTCCCGAGTTCGATCCCTCGTACCAAAAAATAAAATTAAATTAAAATTAAAAAATTAAAAATTAAAGGGGCTGGGAACATAGCTCACTGCAAAAGCCCTGGGTTCAATCCCTGGCCCTGGAAAAACAAAGACTCCAGGTTATCTCCCTTCAAACCCTAATGACATCCTGGACCGGGTCGTCCTCAGCGGTGGGGTGTCCTGGGCATTACGCGATGCTGAGAAGCATCTTCCATCTCTGGCTTCTCCCTAGGACAGACCAAAAGCACCTTTCATCCCCCTCCTATTGGGCCAACCAGAGGCATCTCCAGGCCTTGCTAAATGTCCCTGGGCAACAAAACAGCCCCACTTAAGAATGATTGTTTCGGGCCGGGGATTGAGCTCAGTGGTTTCGCCGTCTGCTGCGCAAGCGCAAAGACTGGAGTTCGATCCCTGGTACCAAAAAAAAAAAAAGGATGATTGTTTCTTTTTTTGGTGGGGTGGGGATCCAGGGTCTCACTCTGTAGCCCAGACTGCCCTTGAAGCCATGGCAATCCTCCTGCCTCAGCCTCCCAAATGCTGGAATCACAGGTGTACACACCCTCCTCCCCATAAGAACCATTATTTGAAACCAACTCACTTCAGGGCTGAGAGTTTACGGCCACTGATTTCCTCCCCAAAGTACTTTTTCTTTTACAAAGATAAAAGGAGACCCATATGCCAAGCACAAGACACACATCTGTAATCCCAGCTACTTGGGAGGCTGAGGCAGGAGGATGGCAAGTTTGAGGCCAGCCTGGGCAACTTAGTGACAACCAGCCTCGAAATAAAAAAGCTGGGCACAGTGGCAGATGCCTGTAATCCCAGCATTCGGGAGCCTGAGGCAGGAGGATCACTGTGAGTTCAAGGCGAGCCTGAACTACATAGCAAGATCCTGTCTCCAAAGACAAAATAAAACAAAAGATAAAAAATAAAAAGGGGCTGGAGTGTGGCAGAGTGCTTGCCTAGCAAGCCAAGCTGTAAGAGAAAAAGAATCTTTTTTAGGACACTTCCTTTTCCCTCAAAAAATGTTTGCAGTGAAGGGACACTGTTTTGGCTCCGTCGCTGCAAAGCAGGAGCACAATGATGGTGAGTCACTTACTGAACTCGGAGAGGGGCCAAGGCAAAGTAACCCCAAACGCCGGAGGGAGCGTTTGATCGAGGGCAGTTCCGGCCATGACCACAAGGGGGCAGTCCGCGATAAGCTTTCCCTTACTCCTCACCGCCACCACCACGCCCCTAAGTGCGCCTGCGTCAGGATTTGAGGGCGCCTGGTGGCGATGTGACAGAGCCGGTGGCGCGTTTCTGCCCTGGTCTCACAAAGGCAGGCCTCTTCCAGTTGTGGCTTGTTAGTGCAGAAACACAGAACATGGGCAGACTTTCGGGGTCCCATGTCCCCGTCCTAGTCGGGGTGGCTGGGTGTGGAAGAGGGTAGGGAGAAGTGGGGTTCCCAGGGAGCGGGAAGGTTTAAGACCCGCAGACACGACGCTGTGCTCCGGTGGTGCTGCACCCCTGGTCCTAGCACCCACAAGGCTGAGGCAGGAGGATCCCTGAGAGTTCAAGGACACCCTGAGCTACAGAGCAAGACTCGGTCTCAGAGCAAACAAGCAAACAAACAAAAATGGGAGGCTGCAGCTTCCCACTTGCCCGCCTGGGGACGGAAGGGGCTCGCACAGGGACAGGTTCCAGAAGAGGACTCCCGCTTCCCCAGACAGGAAAACCCTTTCCCGAGCCCGCTCCTGGGCACGCCTCAGGCCTGTGCCTCCTTCTCTCCCTGCAGTGGTGCTAAGTTCCCCGGAGAATGCGCTGCCCCCGCCTCGGCCTCCGGCCGATTCCATTGGCTTTTCCCTTCTCCTCGAGGCCCTTGATGACCACTTCCCCGCATCTGTCGCTACTCCAAAGCCCCGCTTATCCTGTCTGCAGTTGCTTCCTGCAGCTCTCCACTTTGCTCTTCCTGGCCAAGGAGCCCACCCTTGGCTGTTTGTTTTTTCCAGGATCTTTTTTTTCCCTCAATTTTTTTTTATCAGTACATATTTACATTCCCTTTAGAGGGCAGGTTCATTACTTAACGAATCTTAGTTCTTTTTGTTCCTCTTTTCCTCCTCTTTCCTCTGCCTCTGAATCCCCTTCACTCTTTCAAAAGATCTATCTCCCTGTTTCCTACTTTCTTTTTTCTTTAATTATTTAGTCTTTGATTGCTATTCCCCTTCTGGATATCTCCTAGGTTAAAACATCAGTATCACAGTGATCCAAGTACACACATCCATGTTTATAGCTAAATCTTGGAAGCAGCCTGTGTGTTCTTGACAGTTGAATGGATAAAGAAAATGTGGTACTTACATGCCATGGAGTACTACTCTGTTATAAAGAAGGATAAACATGAGTCATTCGTAGGAAAATGGATGCACCTTGAGACCACATTGGTAAGTGAAGTAAAGCAGACACCTGATCTTAAATATTGTGCAACTTCTCACACAGGAGAAACAGCAGGTGTTTTCTGCCACTTATTAGGGAAACAGGAACTTCCTGAAATACTTCCTTCTCCACCCTCCCAATAACTTACGCTTTTCTTCCCCCAGGAAGTAGCACTTATATGTCCTTCTGTCCTATGATTTCACTTCATCAGCAGAGGCTTTGTGCCTGTGTGTGCCGGGTGTGTGTTTGTGAACGTGTGTAGGTGTATGTATGTTGTGTGTGTATCCGTGTTTGTTCATTTGTACTGGTAAAGGTTATGTTTGTGTGTGTGATTTGTGTTTGTGTAAATATGAAAGTTAAATAGTTACTTAGCAATCATCAGAAATAGCTTACATATTAAAGATACAAAAAGGTCAAAACATTTTTCAGGCTTTGTTTCTAATTCCCACCCCACCCCCCGCCCCGAACTGGGGATCAAACTCAGGACCTTGTGCTTGCCAGGCAGGCACAGGGTGGCTAAGCTACATCCCCAGCCCGTTGCTAAAATTATTCCAGATAGCTAAGCTGGTTAAAAATTATAAGGCAGAAAAATATCATAAGGCAGTCAGACAAGGCTGTGGGCACAGCATAGAAAACAAGTGAGGCACAGTCACTGAAGGTTAACATTATACAAAGAGAAAAAAATGCAACACCCAGCTACTTTCCCTGGGCATGAATGGGAGTAACTGATATTCTAAATAGACATCAGTCACCTTAATTGGGGACCAACCATCCCCAGCCAGCCCCGAAGGGGTGGGGGTGGGGGCTCAGCAGTCTGTGACCCTCGGCCTCTGTGGCATTGGTCTGTCTGGCAGATGGGCTGGGTTTCCAAGCCCTGGGGTAATGCAGCCCTTGAGGGATGGCCTCCGAGTCCACGCTCCACCCTGCAGGGGTTTCTAGGGAAAGGTGTCTTCAATTTCAAACACATGATAGTCAAACTTTTGACTCTTCCCACGCTAGGGAACCGTTCCTTCTTTCTCTTTGTCCTTAAACTCCTTGAAGTATCCAATTGCCCTCCTAGTGTTGCTGTTCTGGGACTTGGGAGAGGTCTAAAATTTTTACCTTTTCTTTTCTTTTTTTCCCCTGCAGTACTAGGAATTGAACCCAGGGCCTTCCCACTGAGCTATATCCACAGGCCATTTCATTTTTGTTTTTTATTTTTAGATAGAGTCTCACTAAGTGAATAAGTCACCCAGGTTGGCCTTGAACTCACAAAGGTCCTCCTGCCTCATCCACCTAGAGTACTGGGATTACACACATGAACCAGCTCACCTGGGTTTGCCTTATTACATTATGATTTTCTAGACTTCAGACTGCCACATGGGTCTTGCCAGATAAGAAGGAACAAAATGGGCCGGGAATGTAGCTCCGTGGTTCCGCCACCTGCCTCGAAAGTCCAAGGTCCGGAGTTTGATCCCTGGTACCAAAAAAAAAAAAAAAAGAAGGAACAACTGAGATTTGACGCCTTCTGAGTCAACTTTTCCTAACCTAACTGATTTTTGTCTTAAGAAAGGGCCTAGAGCGCCAGGGATTTAGCTCAGTGGTACTGACCCTGCCTGGCAAGCACAAGGTGCTGAGTTTGATCCCCCATACCAAAAAAGAAAAGAAAAGAAAAGGCTTAGAGCCTCCTGGTGTGGTGGTGCATGCATGTCATCCCAGCGCTGGGGTGGCCAAGGCAGGAGGATCCCTGTAAGTTCATGGCCAGCCTGGGCTACATAGTGAGACCCTGTCTCGAAAAAAAAAAAAAAAAGAATGCCTAAAGCCATGGACAATCCTACTCTGGAAGAGTCTTACTATTGTAGATAGGTAAGTTAATTAGATATCTTGTAGGCAGTTAGACAGGTCCAGTGCATGAGGAGCCAACATGGAGGACAATCAAGACACATTTTGGGCAGGGGATTTAGTTCAGTGGTGCCGAGCCTGGTGCCCACCTCACAAGTGCAAGGTCCTGACTTCCATGCCCCTACTGAAAGAAAAAAAAAAGACATTTCACTGGAGGCCAGCCTTGTACAAGAAACTAGCACACCGGCATAGGATGAACAGCAGTGATTGATATTCTAAGTAGGTATCAATCACCTGGGTGGGGAACCAAGGTCTTCTAAGAAAGATCCTGACCCACTGCTTACCACAGAAAATCCTTGCTCTTTCCTGGTACGCTGGATACCAGACCTGCTTCCCCCTTGGATCCCCGTTTAATCAATATTACCTAAGCAACTGTACTTGTCATAATCTTACTGGCTGATCA